CTCCCTCTCTCTCTCCTTCACTCTGCAACTCCCCCTCTCTCACTCTCTTGCTCCCTCTCTCACTCTCTTGCTCTCTCCCTCGTATTCCCTTGCCCTCTCTCCCCTCTCCCCCAGCAACCTCGCGTACAACTCCATAGAGGAAGTCTTGCCTTCCACCATCGGCTTATCAGGCACCTCAGAAGAACTCAGAACTCATCTCCCCCTCTCCCTCTCCCCCCCACTCCACTCTCCCTCTCCCCCCCACTCCCCTCTCCCTTTCTTTTGAGGCGCCTCAACAACCACTAAACTGTTACGGTCTCAAAAGACCTTCACGTCTTGTACGTGTTTATACACAACATCTTCTGTACGTCTTCCTTTCTTTCCCTTATCCACTTCCTTCCTTCCCTTGTACTCTCCCTTCCGTGGTCGAACTTTCTTGCAGCAATATGTATGACAACAACGTGGTGGGAAGGCGTTGATTCGTCTCAAAACCAACCCTCATTTTCTTTCTCCCGTCCCTTGTACTCTCCCTTCCTTGGCTTGTTCTCTTCCTTACTTGGTCTGGTTGCTTGGCAGCAATCTGTATGACAACAACGTGGTGGGACGGCTGCCTCTGTCTATGAGTGCGCTCACTAATCTACGCATTCTGTTGGTCTTTCCTCCATTCCATCTCCTCTGTCTCATTTCCGACCCTCATTTGTCATCCGCCCATCTCATACATTTGTTATTCCTCCCTCTCATGTCGAAACTTTGCTCTCATTTCTTTTCACCGTGCATGGGTACCTTCTGTGTCCCTTAAACCAGTGAGCTTGGGAACAACTCCTTTGCTGGAAGTTCCGTGATTGCTCTCACGACGCTTGGACATCCCAGAAGGCCGCTCAAAAGTTGACTCTCTCTCGCCCGAAACCTTTCCTGCCCCCTATACCAGCGAACTTGGAAACAACTCCATCGCTGGAAGCTTCCCGTCTCTGCTCACGTCGCTCTCTCGCCTCACGTGGTTGTAAGTGTCGTGTCAGTGCTGCTGCAAGCAAACAGTGATGGGCTGCTGCAATTGTGGCTTGTTGCTGCAACCCAAGTCCCAATCCAATTCTGTTCACTGAATCCCAAAGCGGTTTGAGGTCTTCTCGTCGAGCGAACTTATGCCTGCTTGTGCCTGACGTGTGCCTGCTTGTGCCTGACGTGTGCCTGCTTGTGCCTGACGTGTGCCTGCTTGTGCCTGACGTGTGCCTGCTTGTGCCTGACGTGTGCCTGCTTGTGCCTGACGTGTGCCTGCTTGTGCCTGACGTGTGCCTGCTTGTGCCTGACGTGGCCTGCTTGTGCCTGACGTGTGCCTGCTTGTGCCTGACGTGTGCCTGCTTGTGCCTGACGTGTGTCTGACATGTGCCGTGCATGCGTGCAGGTCACTCCCTCTACTACAATAATTTAGCAGGATCCGTCCCCTCGTCCGTCTTGAGAGGACGTGTCTGAATTGTGATTCCTGTGTCTCATGCGTGCCTGTCTGACACATGTGCTGTGCTGTGCTGTGCTGTGCTGTGCTGTGCTGTGCTGTGCTGTGATGTGCTGTGCTGTGCTGTGCTGTGCATGCAGGTCGCTCTACTACAATGACTTGGCAGGATCCGTCCCCTCGTCCATCTGTTGCCTTTCAAGGCTCCAACTGTTGTGAGCCTTGTTTCTGCCCCCTCTTGCTTTACCCCTTTCTTGTATCAAACCTATGTTGACCCGCATTTCCCCGCATTGACCTGCATTGACTCGTTCTTGAGCCCTGATCCCCCAGGGTAATCTGGGTGCCAACAACTTCAATGGCGAGATCCTTCCAGCGATTGCCTCGTCGACCCTCGTTGACCCTCGTTGACCATTGTTGACCCTTACTGACCCTCATTGACCCTCATTGACCCTCATTGACCCTCGTTGACCCTCGTGGACCCACGTTGACTCGTTTTCCTGCCCCGATTCCCCAGGGCAATCTGGGCGCCAACAACTTCAATGGAGAGATCCTTCCAGCAATTGCCTCGTTGACCCTCGTTGACCCTCGTTGACCTGTGTTGATGCACATTGACCCACGTTGACTCCTTCTGTTCCAATCCAATTCCCCAGTAATCTGGGTGCCAACAACTTCAATGGAGAGGTCCTTCCAGCGATTGCATCCCTCAGCAACTTGACTTTTATGTAAGCCTTTCTGATAAAAGAGTCTTGTAGCAACCTCCAGGCTTCCAGCAAAACAACTTTTGCATCAGGAGGTGTAGCAATCCCCAGCATCTTATTGTCTATGTAAGGAGGTCAGAGGTCTACCAGGATTAGCATCTTGCGGCAGGCTATCACATGAGAAGGCTCATTCCTATATCTCAACAGCATAACGCTTAGAAGTTCTGCTGCCCGTTCTGCTGCCCGTGTGCCGTGCCCTGTGTGCCGTGCCCTGTGTGCAGCGATATGACATACAACCAGTTCTCTGGCTCCATTCCACAGGAGATTGGCAAGCTGACTAACCTGCAGCACGTGTAAGCCACTGTATCCCACCCACCTGCAACACTGTTCCCGTTCCGCATGCTGTATGTATGCAGTCATGACAACCACGTGTATGAAGTAATGTTTTGAGACCCCTCCATATCTCACCCCACCATACCCTGTCTCAACCCTCCATACCCCGTCTCACCCCTCCATACCCCGTCTCACCCCTCCATACCCTGTCATTCCCCTCCATCAGCGACCTTCTGTTCAACCAGTTCACGGGAAGCATTCCAGAGGCCCTCTCCTTGCTCAGGAAACTCACTCACATGTATGTTCACAGGTGATGGTGTGGTGCTGTGCGGTGTGATGTGGTATGATGTGGAGTGTTCCTATACCACCAATTCACGGGCAGCATTCCAGAGGCCCTCTCCTCGCTCAGGAAACTCACTTACATGTATGTTCGCAGATGACGGTGTGGTGTGGTGCAGTGCGGTGGGGTATGGTGTACTAGTGTGGTGTGGTGCAGTGCGGTGGGGTATGGTGTAGTAGTGTGGTGTGTTGTGCTTCTGTTCAACCAGTCGAGCAGCATTCCAGAAGCCCTCTCTGCGCTTAAGAAACTCACTCACATGTAAGCTGGCAGATGATGGTGTGGTGCCAGGCGGTGTGGTGCTGTGTGGTGTGGTGGAGTTTGCTTCTGTACAACCAGTTCACAGGCAGCAATCCAGAATCCCTCTCCTCGCTCAGGAAACTCACTCACATGTATGCCAACAAATTGTGATGGTGTGGTGCAGCGCGGTGCGGTGCGGTGCTGTGTTGTGTGGTGTGTGCAGAGGCCTTCTTCTTGCTCAGGAAGCTCACTCACATGTATGCCATCCATGCAGATTGTCTTGGTGCGGTGTGGTGCGGTGTGGTGTGGTGGGCTGCTATACAACCAGTTCACGTGCAGACACCCTCTCCTCACTTAAAAAGCTCCCTCGCATGTGCTTTCATCCACCCACCATCCATCCGTCCCACCATCCATCCCCTCCCACCATCCCCTCTCACTATCCATCCCCTCCCACCATCCCCTCCCACCATCCCCTCCCACTATCCATCCCCTCCCACCATCCATCCCTCCCACCATCCATCCCTCCCACCATCCATCCCTCCCACCATCCATCTCTCCCACCATCCATCCCTCCCACCATCCATCCCTCCCACCATCCCATCCCATCTCCGCAGTAGCTTCAGCCGCAACAGCTTCCGAGGCACCATCCCTTCTTGCTTCGCCACCCTCACCAAACTCAACATGCTGTGAGTGGGCTTTAAGGCTTGCCCAAACCTCTTTTCTCTAAACGGCAGCTCGCCCGAAGTCTCTACAGCTCACTATGGCCGACCGTCACCAAACTCAACATGCTGTGAGTGAACCGCTCTATTGATTTGATCATAAGAGCTGTAAGAGATTGACGTAACAAAACAGCTGAGAGTAAATCTACCCGACCACTTGATATACTTCAATGGAGCGTTTTGAGACGTCTCAAAACATTACTTCGTACGTACATCACGCGTCAATCAAGATTCCTCGAAATTCAGCGTGCGCAGAGCTCCTGTCACGCTTTCCATGCTTATGCTGGCTATTCAAAGCCCAATGCAGGTGTTCTTATATCAAATCGAAGTTGTGACTGTGAGGGAACTGTGAGTGACAATGCCTAGGTATAGTCTGTAGAAGGGGTCAGTCGGCAATACCTAGGTATGAAATTTCCAGCCGTGTTGCCCCCTATCTCCAGGCACTTTGATGGCAACCAGTTTTTCGGAGAAATTCCCTCCCAATTGGGGAACCTCAGAAACCTCACATGCTTGTAAGATGTCTCTAAAGGAATTTCACCTTGCTGCCACCTCCCCAATGCTACCACCTCCCCAGTGCTACCACCTCCCCAATGCTACCACCTCCCCAATGCTACCACCTCCCCAATGCTACCACCTCCCCAATGCTACCACCCCATTGACGTCACATCACCACCTGCCAATGCTACCTCTCCACTGATGACGTCACATCATCACCTGCCAATGCTACCTCTCCACTGATGACGTCACATCACCACCTGCTTTTTGCTTCCACCCACTTATCAACACCCGCTCCCCCCCCCCCGCTGCAGGGGCTTCGCCACGAATGCTCTCCAATGTCAATTAGAATGCCCCATCGCCATCCCATCACCCCCATTGCCATCCCATCACCCCCATTGCCATCCCATCACCCCCATTGCCATCCCATCACCTGCCACCGTCCACCTCCCTCCAGGGGTTTCGCCACCAATGCGCTCTCGGGCACTGTTCCACCCACCCTCGGGAATCTCCTGCTCCTCACATCGCTGTGAGTGTGTGTAAAAGGCGGTGTGATTATAAAGGGGGAAGTGGAGAAAGGGAGTGTGTATTGAGGGGATGAATTCATGACCCACCTTCCTGCAGAGAGGGGCTTCACCACCTCCCCGCAGGGGCTTTGCCACCAATGCTCTCTCAGGCACCATTCCACCCAATCTCGGGAAGCTGCTGCTCCTCATCCCCCATCTCCCCTGCCCTTCTCTTACCCTCCTTTTCAGAGAGCTCAACGAGAGTGGCACGGTGTGCCCAGGAGCCGGCCAGCCATGCGTGGTGCCGCAAACCCCCTCCTCGCAGTTCTGCCTTTCATGCCCCGACTTCTGCTCCTCCTGCTCTCCTAGTGCTGATGCTGGGCCATCCCTTCCTCCTGCCACTAGCGCTTTTTCTCCTCTTTCCACGGATACAAACACGCCTCCCTCCTCCTCTTCCTCCCCGTCCTTTGTCCGGGCTGCCTCTGGGAGCTATCATCAGCATTTCTGTGGGGTTTGGGGTGTACTCGTAATTGCCCTTCTTGTTATTGGCCTGGCCTGTTGATTTGGCATTCTCAGAATTGTCCCCTTATCTGTAAGGAAGAAGATGCATTTTGAGCAAAGCCTCAATCAATCAAGGCAAACTGTTACTTCGCATAGATTCCGTTTGGAGCCTATGATGCACGTATGACCTCAGGATGTGAGAGTGTATCTACTACAGAACAGGGCAGTGTAGAGTGTACGCCGAAACCTGCCGGCTCGTGTCGTGGCGCAAATTGGTAACTAACAGCAGGAGTAGGAGAAGCGAGTGACCGAAGTGTCATGTGGATGTTTGCATGCATGTACAGTTGTTCTCGTTTAAAGTCCGACGGAGAAACACGCCGCGCGCGGACTATATGTCAAAATGTCCGAAACCCCGGGCAAACGGGACCCTATAGTCCCAAATTCGAGAAAATTGCATGAAAAGCGGTTTTTTGTCTCTACTGGTTGTTGTTTTTTGTCATATACGTACGTATGGACCGCGCTTGCTTCAACTTCTCGTCGAACGGTTTTACGCGTTATCAGTGATGCGTGAAAAACGGGCAGAAATAAACAACATTGTTTATGTTTGATGCCATAATAGGTTTGTCTTTTTGTTTTTCCTTCCTGTCAGCGAGATTACTGAGATGTCATCGTGGAGCGCGCTAGGAATCGCGCGACGGGAATAAGAAACAAGCGCGGTCAAGAGAAACAAAAAATATCAGTTGTGAATGTTCACTTCAAAACAAAACTGCCTTTTTTAGCATTCTCCGTTAATGTTCAAGGCACTTATACGTGCAATGAACCTGGTCAAAAAAGGGACTGTAGAGGAGGGGCCACACCTAGGAATTAAAGGAAAAAGCTCCTCATTCTGAAAATGGGACTTTGTGAGCGCGGGACTTTATAGCGGAACCATTTGTACCTCACAGCTCCAGTTTCAAGGGCGCGATCCACAATTGTCAAGATGGCTTATTGAACAGGGTGTTCAAGAAAATACATGGGTTGAAAACGGCTATTTGTCTTTTTACACGGTGCAGTGCGGTTTTCTTCATTGTTTGAACAAAAGTGGTCCGCTACCCCGACAGTTTCCATGGATGAGCCAAAGCCGTGGAAGTTAGAGGCTGTGGCGGAGGTTATGTGAGCTGTGCTCATTTCTAACTCCCAATTTGTTCTCCACTCATCCCGTGACGGGATTCACCCACCCCCGCAAGATGCTGGGAGCAGAGCAGAGAGTCAACCCTCACCCCACACAAGCCACGCATTCCAGGCTGACGACGAAGCCCCAGCAGCAACCATCGCCTTGCGCGATGAAATTTGAAATTCCCAGACACGTGCTTGCGACGAATGCTGCTCGTACAGCAACATAATGCCGTCGCCATTGCTAATGCAGGATGGCGGCGGCAGCTAACCAAAACTCCTAGTCTACAGAATTCATTACTGTAGTGTGACGATGAGGAGTACACTATTCCTGCCTGTTGCTGTCATTCCGTGGTCCCTCATCTTCCTCATCGTCTCTCTCTCTCATGAGTGTCGCTCTCTCAGCATTCCTTGCGTTTGGAACGGAACGCTTCGGTGTAACCCTAGATTTCTTATCAGTGAGTCGTTCACGCTGAACAGATATCTAGGGGTACACCTTGCGGTTCGTTGTCCAAAAAGCAGCTCAAACGATGTTGTTTCTCATCCGACGTCCGAAGCGCGAATGCTGACCGACCAATTTTTTGCTGCTCTTGACGTCCAGTCCAGTGGACGCAGTTCCGTTCTCACGCGTACTGCGACAGCTCGATTTATTCGATATAGAATCAAACGATAAGTTATCGTTAATCACCTTCTCTGAGAGACAGCTTCAAGTCGACAGTGCCACGGACGTTACCCGTGTGTCCAGCATTCGAGATTCGACTTCTCTCAAGATTCATCACGCGCGTAGAGGAAAAAAAAAACCCCTTCAGTCTGAAGCGCGCCAGATTTTTGTCGCACGCCACGTCACTGGGACGACGGGTCCCCTGACAGAACTGCTTACATCATGGTTTCGCAGTTCCTCATACCCTTCGAGGCCGGCGAGTCGCCATTAGTCCCGCGACTAGTAACTCATCGCCGCGGGACTCATAATAAACTCCATTTAATTCCTCGTCTGCCTCTCGCTCGCGTCGTCTGCGCGTGGCTGCTACTTATCAGTAGCCTGTTCGCCGGACAGGCGTCTGGAAACGACTCGTTTGAAAACACTCCAAGGAAAGCACAAGCTTCTGGAAACGGAAACACTGCTCCCTGGAAAGCGCGGTACTTAGAGGCGTCTGGAAACGAAAACACTCCAGGGAAAGCGCGCCGGTACCTACAGGCGTTGAACGTAGCTCTGGGGAAAGTACCCGCTGCACCACCCGTTGCACCACCCGTTGCACCACCCGTTGCACCACCCCTTGCACCGCCCGTTGCACCGCCCGTTGCACCGCCCGCACCCATTGCACCCGTTGCACCGCTAGTTGCACCACCCGCACCCGTTGCCGTTGCACCACCCGTTGCACCACCCGTTGCACCACCTGTTGCACCGCCCCTTGCACCACCCGTTGCACCGCTAGTTGCACCACCCGCACCCGTTGCCGTTGCACCACCCGTTGCGCCACCCGTTGCACCCACTGCGCCGGCGCCTGGCGGAGGAGCGCCAGCGCAGGGGGGAGCGCCTGGCGGAGATCCAGCGCTAGGGGGAGCGCCCGGAGGAGGGGGGGCAGGCGGAGGACCGGGGGGAGGTAGTACGTCGTTCAATGTGACAGCTGAACAAGGCGCGATTCTAGAAGCCTGTGGCAGAGAGATGGGTGTGCCAGATGGCATGTGGTATCCTGGCATGCCATGTAGCATGGACTCGTGGGTCACATGCGACCCTTTTGGCGCCGTCAATGCCATGTGAGTGTGTTACTGTGTCAGCGATGTACGAGTATGGCATATTGTCATGCAATGGCATGTGGTACGGTTCCCTGGGATGCCATGCAGCATGGACTTGTGGCTCACGTGCGACCCTAGTGTGGCATGGCATGGCATGGCATGGCATAATGTCATGCAATGGCATGTGGTATCCTGGCGTGCCATGCCACATGGACTCGTGGATTACATGCGACCCTTTTGGCGCCGTCAACGCCATGTGAGTGTGGCATGGCATGCATGTGGTGTGAGTACGGGATGTCATTTAAGTAAGTGTCGCATGGTATGGTATGGCGTGATGGCATTGCAATGGCGTGTGGTGGTATCCTGGCATGCCAGTAGCATGGACTCGTGGATCACGTGCGACCCTTTTTGGCGTTGTCAGTGTCATGTGAGTGTTGCATGGCATGGCATGGCATGGCATGTCAATGCTATGTGAGTGTTGCATGGCATGCATGTGCTGTCAACGCTATGTGAGTGTGGTGCTGTCAATGCCATGTGAGTGTGGTGCTGTCAACAACAGCATTCATTTGTGCCATGTGGCATGGCAATGCGATGGCATGTGGTATTATGTGCCATTGTTTTTATGTGGTATTATTCCCCCCCCCTTCGTTGCCATCCCCCTTAGTGTAACACGCGATAAGGGCATAAATGGGGTCCACTTGCTTCAGTATCAGGCTGCTCCTTTTCTCTGCAACCCCTTCTCTCCTTTTCTCCGCAACCCCTTCTCTCCTTTTCTCCGCAACCCCTTCTCTCCTCCCTCACTCCATACCTCCCACTTGTTATCCCCCTTAGTCTCACGCGCGATAAGGGCATAAAGGGATCCTTCTGCTCCAATATAAGCCTCATCACTTCGCTGACAAAGATGTACGTTTGACGTTTGACCCATTCGCCCTCTAGAAAGTGACGCAGTCATTCGCGCCAGCACCATACATGATACATCCTTGCTTCTCTTATTTCAATTCTACTGCCCTTGTGAACACTCTAGAAAGCTACTCAATAATTCGCTATTGCCCTTGATCCTTTCTTCGATTCAAATTTCAAACTGTACTTACACCCTCCCCCCTGTCCTGTTCCATCCTCGTTAGTGACTTGGGCAACAACTCGCTAACAGGCTCTCTTCCAACCAGCCTTGGCAACCTTACTAGACTGGACACCCTGTGAGTGGTGCTGAGGAGGAGTAGTTCTGCTGTAGTTGTGCTGCTGAGGAATAGCTCTGTGGTGCACAATATGTTTGAGTTATGAGTATGAGGCACCACAAGACTGGACACCCGGTGAGTAGTGCGGAGGAGGAGTAGTTCTGCTGTAGTTGTGCCGCTGAGGAATAGCTCTGTGGTGCAATATGTTTGAGGCATGAGTATGAGACACCACAAGACTGGACACCCGGTGAGTAGTGCGGAGGAGGAGCAGTTCTGCTGTCGTTGTGCATCACATGATTCGTACCATGCCTTGCCATACCTTGCCATTGCTCCTCTTATGCATGATACCATGCCTTGCCATTCCTCCTCTTACGCATGATACCATGCCTTGCCATTTCTCTACTTGCTCCTCCCACCCGCCCTTGGGAATGCTTTTGAGGTGACTCAAAGGCAGATTACCGCTTGCCCCTTTGCCCTACCGCCATCACTCACTCACTCATTCGCCCACCCTGCAGGGTCCTTGGTTACAATAACCTCTCGGGCGTTGATCTTTTTGTCTTTGCCTACAATCGTCTCAAGACTTATGCCCTAACGAGATCACTCACTCACTCACTCGCCCATCCTGCAGAGTCCTTGGCTACAATAATCTCTCCGGCGTCGCTCCTCCCACCCTCGGGAATCTCGTGAAGCTCACTGCACTGTAAGTTTTAAGGCAAGCTGCTCCTGCTCCCACCCTTGGGAATCTCGTCTCGTGAAGCTCTCTACAGCGTAAGCTGTTTTAGGGGCGCCTAAAAAAAGACCGGAAGCTGAAACGTGGCCCACAGGAGCCAGTTTTTTGGTCGTCTAAAAAAGCGACTCCCTCCCTTTATCTTATCCCAGTGTCCTCGACAGAAGCGGGGTTGTGTGCCCCACAGGATCCAGGTACCCCTGCACGGTCAAGCAGACCAGCTCCACCCAGTTCTGCCCTTCTCTTCCTCCATTCTCCCACTCTTCTTCCTTGCCCTCCTTTCCCTGTCCCTCACTGCAGTGTCCTCGACAGGAGCGGGGTTGTGTGCCCCACGGGAGCCGGGCAATCCTGCACGGTCAAGCAGAGCAGCTCCACCCAGTTCTGCCAGACGTGCAGCGAGTTTTGCTCCACTTGCACTCCTCTTCCTCATTCTGATTCCCCCTCCACACCACCCGCCCCATCTCCTCCTCCCGCTCCTCCGTCTCCTCCCTCCTCTTCTGGCCTCTCTGTGGGAGCTATCGTTGGGATTGCTCTGGGAGGTGGCCTAGCTGCTGCTCTCCTAGCTGTTGGCGCGTTCTTGTTCTGCAAACATAGGTCTAGAAAAGGTGAAGCTTTGGTAATGTGATGTGGTAGCGTGGTGGGGGGTGGGAGATGTACTCCTAGCTGCTGCTCTCCTCGCTGCTGCTCTCCTCGCTGCTGTCCTCCTCGCTGCTGCCCTCCTCGCTGCTGCCATGCTGCTTCTCTACAGGCAAAGGTCCAGCTCAGGTGAGGTGCCAGTTATGTGCTCCTCTTTGCCGGATTGCCCCCCTTTTGTCCCTCAACTCAAATTCCTCGTCTGCCCCACCTCCACCATGTGCCTCATTCACCTCCACCATGTGCCTCATTCACCTCCACCATGTGCCTCATTCACCTCCACCGTGTGCCTCATTCACCTCCACCGTGTGCCTCATTCACCTCCACCATGTGCCTCATTCACCACCACCATGTGCCTCATTCACCTCCACCATGTGCCTCATTCACCTCCACCATGTGCCTCATTCACCTCCACCATGTGCCTCATTCACCTCCACCGTGTGCCTCATTCACCTCCACCGTGTGCCTCATTCACCTCCACCATGTGCCTCATTCACCTCCCTCATTCACCTCCCTCATTCACCTCCCTCATTCACCTCCCTCATTCACCTCCCTCATTCACCGCCCTCCTTCACCTCCCTCATTCACCTCCCTCATTCACCTCCCTCCTTCACCTCCCTCATTCACCTCCCTCCTTCACCTCCCTCATTCACCACCCTCCTCATCCGCGTCTTTCCATATATGTCGAAAGCCAGTTGCGCCATTTTGTGCAACCTCCTTGGTATCATGTTTCCACCTTCCTTTTACCTCCATGAGGCGAGCAAACAGAGTTACAGAGTCACGATTCATGAAAAATGTTGGTTTTTTTTTTTTTTTTTTTTTTTTTTTTTTTTTTTTTTTTTTTGGGTTGCGAAGCAACCTATTGCAATCGACCTAAAGCAAAAAAAAAAATAAGGAAATTTTAATTATCTGCACAAAAAAAATGTAAAATAACTGGAAAATGCTTGTTCAGGGTACTAATAAACTTGACAATCTTTCCATAATGATCATACCGTACTTGTTAAGCTTTCTGGTCATTTGCTGGTCATTTGCTAGTCATTGCTACGGTACTCTACATCGTTCTTTTGTAACGCGCATGATTAAGAAAGGTGAGAATCTGTGGAGAACTGCAATGACCGACCAAACGATAATTGCATTTCTCATATTCATCAAACCAATTGATGAATATTTGCAGTTTAAAATTTATACTACCGCTTCCTTCCCCCGCCTAGCGTGTCGGGGAAGTCAGCAATATACGGGGTCAGCAATATAAACAGCTAATGTAACAAAGCAATACAATCTGCATATCCCAAAAAAATATCTAAACCGGTCAAGTCCAGCTGAAAATGGCTTCACTGTCATAGTGGTGGACCACTCAACCTTTTGTGACGATGATCGGCAAGATATTTTTTTGAAAAATGCAGACATGCATTACGATTGCAACGAGAAGAAGCATAATACAAACAGAAATGAAACAAATCAAACAATTACTCATAATTAAAGGAACTAAAAAAAAATGCACTGTAAGTGGTACGACACTCCCTTCCTTCAAAATCCATCCTGCCTAAAAGCGAGTATCTGTGATAACAAAAAAGAAGCATCGAATACAAGAAGAAAGATGTGATATTAAGAATTGAAGCTTAAAAGAGAATGAAGAGAATGAAAGAGAGAGGACGAGAGAGAGAGGACGTGAGAGAGAATGAGAGGGAGTGAGAACGAGAGGAAGAGAGAGAACCAGAGATTGAAAACGAGAGAACGAGAGGAAGAGAGAGAGAACGAGAGAGAGAGAACGAGAGAGAGAGAGAGAGAGAGAGAGAGAGAGAGAGAGAGAGAGAGAGAGAGAGAGAGAGAGAAGAGAGAGAGAGAGAGAGAGAGAGAGAAC